AGGCCTTCAAGGCTACTCCACCGACTGCTGGTCTGCGACATATTTCTTGACTGCTTGTTCCTTTAGGGTGATCCTAAAAGGCAGAAGAATTCCACCACTTCAATATCTTCATTGTCAGTTCTAAGGCTGTTGTCATTAGTTCAGTCTTCTTTAGATTTAATCTTAGTCCCATTTTTTTCACTGTTTTCCTTGAGTCTCATAACTAGAGGTTGCAGATCATTTGCATTTTCAGCAGTCAAAACGGTATCATCAGCGTAGTGTGGGTTATTGATCTTTCTTCCTCCAATTTTAAACCATGCTAATCTTCTTCCAATCCTATTTCCCTCAGTATGCATTCTGCATAAATAAGTGGAGAGTATACAGCCTTGTCACACTCCTTTGCCAATCTGGAGCCAGTTGTAAACTTATAGTAGTAATAATAGAATAATAATAGAAACAAGCATTGAATTAGTATTAAGAGTAGAAGTAAGGAATAGGAGTTTAATTTTGTAAAATAAAACAGCTTTTATGGGAAAAAAACCAAATTCAGTCTTTGTGTCTGTGATCTGGACCAGACTAAAAAGACCCCTAACCCTCACTAATTAATTTCTCAGTTCATCAGCAAATCCTCTCAAAATTGGTCAGTCAGAGCCATATCATTCCATCCCACATCTCTGGCAAATAATTGAAAATCCTGTATGTATTTTGGTTGCCCCTTCTTTCAGTAGACTCAGAACAAAGTCACTTTGGCACAATCAATAGGAAATTCTGCTGATTATCCATAAACAACTCACACTGAGTTATGAAAGTCAGAAATTGATCCTGGGCTTCTCTGAACTTCTCTGGCAAACTCCCATGAGAGTGCAGAAAAATCAGTTGGGCTACAATACTGTACTGCTATTCTGCTCCTGGCTGAAGCAAGCCTTATGTCATCTCCATGATCCAAGGCAAGGTTCATTGCTTCTCTGAATAGAGAAGCTTTCAGAACTGATGACAGCCATTCGAGTTAGGTCAGGTCAGGAAGCAGACACTATAGGAACGCTATAGAGAATAGTAACAGAATCTTGAAAGAGAAATTTTGAGTTTCTTAATTACCCCTTCCTGTCTTTTGGAGCTAGGTGGCTGATGTATACCTTCTTCAAGGCTATCTCCATACTCCTCTGCATTGTTTGGGGGTCTTCTTAGACTCACAACTGTTATTTGAGAAGCAGGTGGCAGCCATGGTTAAGAAGGCATTTGCACAAATCCATTTTGTGTGTCAATTGCATGTGTTCCTGGATTGGGAATCTCTGCTCAAGGTCACTCATGTTTTAGTCACCTCCAAGTCAAACTACTCTAATGTGCTATACCAGAGGCTACTCTTGAGGAGTGTTTGGAAGCTGCAGTAGGTCCAGAATGTGGCGGCATAAGAAGTTATGAGTGCATTTCAATACACCCATGTAACCCTGCTGCTTTGTGAGCTGCACTGGCTCCCAGTAGTCTTTTAGGTACAGATAAAGATGCTGGTTATCACCTATAAGGCCCTGCATGGCACAAGCCAGGTTATTTGTGGGACTGCCTATCTCCAATTATTTCTGTTCATCCCACCAGATCCAGCAGGGTAAGCATACTCTGGGTGCCTTCCATAAAACAGATCATCTAGTGGGACTCAGGAGATGTGCCTTCTCTGTTGTGGTGCCTGTCTATGAAATAGCATCTCACCCAGAGATCTGGATGGCCCTGATCCTATTGGCCTTCCATAGGACCTTGAAGACCTGGGTTTTCATTTGGGCATTGGGCTAGGGTGTCTGTTGAGCCCTGGATATAAGGCTGGTTTAGTTTTTTTATATAGTTTATTAGAACCTCTGTCCCATTGTATAGTATATGTGAGTGTAATTATTCTATTTTTGGTTATTAATATTTAAATCATATTTTTTATTTTTATATTGTGTTTTATTAAGTTTTTATGCATTGTTACCTGCCCAGATTAATCATTTTAAGATGGGTAGCCATGTTAATAATTTAAATAAATTAATAAAATACAGCCAAGATGTAAATGACTGGTGGCAAGAGAAGCTGTGTGTGTCTGTGTTTGTTAACTTCTGTATCTTCAATTCTCCCAGGAAAGACTAGTGCTGCTGTAGTCCTGGCCAAACACTACAGTGCAGCTTGCTTGTCCATTGACTCAGTGATCCTGGAAGCCATCTCAGATGGGAGCAGTTCAGCAGGGCTTCGTGCACGGGAACTCTGCATTCGAGCAGCTCTTGAGCAGGCACAGCGAGAGAACGAGGATGGTGGTAAGCAAGAAGAGCAAGTTCTGAGACCCCAGTATCACTGCATGCTTCCAACCAAGCCTTGCCTTTCCTCCCCACTAACCTCTTCTTGGTCCAAATGTAATATTTCTCTGAGTCAGCTTTGACCTCTGTCTGTGGCTTTGGCTTTTCTCCAGAAGCCAAAGAATTTGTCACTCTTCAGAGCCAACTTTTGCTGGAAGTTTGAATTCTAGAGCTGTGTTCCAGTTTCCTTAGGTGGAATTCTTTCTTCCAGTTTAAAATCCCAAATAAAGTGGGAAGATAGAGGAGCTGCAAAATGGGGCTGTTATGGACTTCTAGGGAAGAAATGGTGAACTGAAGCGGAGCTGACAACCACAGCAGAATGAAGAGCCAGTGAGTAGACTGGCTGTTCTTAATTCCTCTCTGGACAAGGAGAAGATTTGAGATTGCCCACAAGTGCTCCATACAGTTGCTCCTCATGAGGAGACTTCAAGATAGCAGTCTCTGTAGAGTTTAGAGCTGTGGGAGATGAGGGAATAGCCATCTTGCTCAAACCGCAGTCAGCGCCTTCAAAAGGATACTAAGTTCACATACTTCCTTTTCTAATCAATTTTGGAAAGTGCTTGTTATCTGCTTTTCAGCTTTTAGAAACCTTTGGATCAACACATTTTACAGTCCCAGGTGAGTTTCCTTCAATCCTTAGCGAAAGAAGTTTTAAATACAAGTTCAAGGACTTAAAAAAAATTCTTTTGGAATAAACAGTAAAAGGGTGATTAGAACTTTGATTTTGGAAAGTTACAAATGGACTAAGGGTCCAGATGGATTTGAACTAAGATTTTGGAATTAATTATAAGAATCCTCCCATGGGAAAATGCTTTTGTTTTGAATTCTCTTTAAAAAAATGATAGGATGAGTCTTGGTGATTAGAACTTTGATTTTGGAAAGTTACAAATGGACTAAGGGTCCAGATGGATTTGAACTAAGATTTTGGAATTAATTATAAGAATCCTCCCATGGGAAAATGCTTTTGTTTTGAATTCTCTTTAAAAAAATGATAGGATGAGTCTTTGAAAGTTGGACACTAGAGGGAACTAGAAGGAACTAAAGATTATAATCAAAGGTGAAGAACCCTTAAATTTGACTTACTAATACAGAATGAAGCAAAATATTTTAACATTGGATATATTGAAGGATATTTTTGAACAATGGACCCAGAAGTTAATTTTAAGTGTGTCTGCCTCTTTAGATTGACTGTGTTTAAAAGATGCTATGGAAAAAAAACAAGTATTACCTGACATAATTAAGACTGATCTGAAAGTGGATTTAAAAATGACAGGCTACAAGAATGAAAAGGAAAAAGATGCGACAATGGACATACAAAAGAAACCAGCTGATGTCTTAATAATTAAAAGGAATATACAAATAACAAACCAAGAGAATGACCTGGAAAATCTTCCTATGTTAGCTTTACAAAAGAGACTTGTTAAAGCTTTGAAGAATTTTGTGAGAAGGGAGAAAGAAAAAATGAAAAGAAATCAGGTTCTAGGACATTATTTGAAGGGACTAAAGATCAAGATTGTTAAAAATAAAAGGAAGGAATATAAAATTGGTTTATTTGATCAAAGTTAAAATAGATACAGTGGGGCAAAAAAGTATTTAGTCAGCCACCAATTGTGCAAGTTCTC